GTTGCGATGGATTAAATATTAACATATTATTATGCTGTCAAACTGACACAAACCTGGAGCTACTATCTGCTGAAGGTCATTTCTAATGGGCCAGCTGAGAGTTGTTTGTCAAGATAAAGAGCCGAGTGTGTGAGAAAACTGCTAAGCGGGGGGGAACCTGAGGGACGGCAGCGGCCTGGGAGCGGCATGGTTTGCAGGGAATTTAAAATCTAAAGCTTGATCCCATTACATGGCTGTGAATTAAACAAGATGCTCTGATTAAAAATGCATATGTCCTCAGGCTTGTCTACCTCTACAAAACAGCAGTAGAAGACCTCGAGTTTATTCAACAGAGATGGCCAGATCTAATTTATCACCTGTTATAGACCCCCACAACAAAACAGCCTTGAAAACAAGGAGCTTAATTTAATATTTGATTGACAAGTAAAAAGAAAAAAATAAATTAGATAGTACAGGCGGTTATTTATTTTCACACCATAGTTGTTGATTAAAGGGTTTCCTGCAACATTTTCAGGTCCATATGCATCAACACTCCATCTGCAATTAACAGATTTAAACTATAGGTGCACCAAGAAGAGGACAAGTCAAACCCAGGATCTTCTTGCTGCAAAGTAAAAGTGGTAGCCACAGCACCACAAATATTCCATAACAAACACACACAAAAAATGTCACCTTTCTAAAAAAAAAAGAAAAGAAAAGCTAAGTGCTAACCATTAAGCCAAATATTATTCACATCCCTGGCAGATTAAAGTAGCCTTTTAATTTTACCAGATTATTTAGTTTAACAGGAAATGCTATTATTTTTTTTAAAAAGTGGTCTAACTAGAGTCCTAACTTGAATCTGATGGAGAATCTGTGAAAGTGGTTGAAGATTAGGGTAATGGCAAAGAGGCCTTCTGACATGAAAGATGTGAAATTCATCAGCAAAGACAAGTCATCAAAATACCAACGGTGACAAGTAGGTTTTAGTGTAAACCAGAAGCTTTTTCCATTGATCAATAAGAAAATGTTAACCAAGAATTTTTTTTTTTAATTAAAATGTTAATAATGCAGTTTTTCAAAACGGGTGCTCTTTTTCCATAACGTTATTATTCCAAAACTTCCTGTGGTAAGAATAACCTAGACTTTAGCTGTATACCGTACAGCACATGGACATACTATTCAGGTTTCTGGGAATGTTGGGGTTTTAATTAGATGTATCTGTGTGTTCAGATTAACATGAAGATATTTTTCAATTGAACACTGGCTTGAAATTCTAGATTTGTTGACATTTTCTCAATACAATAAAACTTGAAAACGTTGCTGCCTTCCTGTTTAATAGGGGGCTAAAGGTGTTGCCGGATTACAAATCAAAGTTTTTCTTTATTCATCAGGGCCAACTCTAGAACATGACAGTTGGACATTTCAGTGTCTACGTCAGTAAGTTTAATTCTCTGCGAAGACGGAGAAAAGCAGGGCAGCAGCAACTGGTCCACTGAAAACAAAGCTCACCTTCATTAAGAGAGAAAAAAAGAGAACATATGGAACAAACTACAGCAAACCAGCACTGTGTCCTGGACGTCGGCAGCCTCGTTGTGTTCGTGTGAATTGGCGCGCGCTTTAGCGTATGTGTCCGCGTGCGCGTTGCTGAGTCAGGCGCGAACACTCGCGGTTCCCTCCGCTGCTCCTCTCTCCGTCCCTCTCTCTGTCTCTCTGAACATCTGTCTGTGACTTTTTGCTTTAGCCGCCGAGGGGATTCTTCACATGTCTGGACACCACGCTGCGGAGCTGCCCCTCTCACTGCCGTAAATCTGCTCGGCAACTTGTTTGTCTGGCCGCCCATGGGCGCTGCTGCTCTCACCCACTCCGCTGCTCCACCGGCTGGGGGCTGTCCGGTGCGCCTCTGCGGTCGCTCGCTCGGTGGGTTCGGGACGGTGCCGAGCTCCGCTTTTATGAATGACTAAAGAGACGGGGGGGAAATGCGAGTGAGCGCTAAACCCCCGTGCAGCAGCCCGGGCTCCCGGGGGGCCAGCCACCGATGAGAGAGGGATTATCGGCGGCTCATTGCGGAAAAGCGAGCCTGACTGCAGACTGGCGTGGAAACGCGCCGTGACCATATAGCGTAGAGCATCGGAACACAGCCGCGGTGACCACAATGTAAGTTCATCTGCACGCTGCAACTCATTGGCACACGCAGAGAAATGATGCCCCTGTTTTGCATGCCTTGTTTATTCTAAATCCATTCATCACTGCACGGTGAGCACTGAAAACAGTTGTCCGACTCTTTGATTCGCTGAACCACATGCCCTCTCAGGTGTAGGAAAGGCCTTGGTGAGCTTCATCTCTGTCATTTTCAGTGACATAACAGGTGATGCGCTGTCTCCGTGATACACATGAATAATAAGCTCCCACTTAGTCTTACCCAGGAGCTATCTTCCTGGCAGGTCCATCCACATCGTTGCTTTGGGCAGCGAGTGTCCCGGAGGAGTCGGGCCCGGGGAGGAGCTCATGGGCCAGGGCCAGCTGCAGGGAGGCTTGCTGTGGAGCTACCTGGGTCACGGAGCGCTGGTGGGACCCTGCGACCTGGAGGGCAGCCTGCACAACCCGGCCTTCATGGAGTACACCTCACGCGTGTTTGGAGACGTCACGGTGGTGGTTCGTGATTGCCCCAGTTGGGTAAGAAAACAACCACGCAGAGAGATAGTGATCAGTTCCTTGTTGGATTATTTATTCGTTTAATTGCTTATAGTTTGGACAATGTGCAAAGCTTTGAGCATCTCACAGAGAGCTCTGTACAATGCAATGCTCTGAAATGGAAAGAGTACAACTCAAATGCAAGCCTACCAAGACATTGCCTTCTACTTACACGAGAGCTAATAGACCCTTTGCAACTCTGGTGGAGCTGCAGGGATCCACTGCTCAGGTGGGGCAACTATTAGTCTTGCATTCTGAAAAGTCAGGCTCCTGACATTCAAAAAGGTGCTAGAAGTTTGCCTCCAACCCTGAAGAGTGCAGAGAAAACATAAAGCATATCAGTTGAGATTCTCAGACACAAAATACCAAAATAAAACTTTTTTTTTGTTTTTGTTTTGCATAAAACAAAAACTGCTAATCAGTCTGATTCTGCACACACCATCCCCATGGTGAAACATGGCAGCTTCATGTTTCATCAATGGGTTGGGAGTGATTTCCTTTAGGAGTTTCAGGCAAACTGCTTTACGGGATAGAAAGATGGATAGAGCTAAATATCAGGCAATACTGGAAGATAACCTGTTAGAGGCTGCGAAAGACTTGAGGCGTTGGCTGGTCCAGTCAAAGTCCGGTTAGACTTGAAAGTTGATTTTTCCACCGCCTTTCTCCGTCAATTGTGATTAAGCTTTAGATATTGCAAAGAAGAATAGGAAAACATTTTACCGTCTAGATGTGGAAAGCTGGCAATGACATACCCTAAAAGACTTGCAGTGCAGCAACAGTGAGAAGTGGTTCTGCAAAGTGTCGACTCGGTGGAGCTAAATATGAAATCCTATATGACTGAAAAGTTCTTAAAACCTCTCTTCTTCTTCACATGAAAAAGTCAACAAGTGTGTTGATTTTTGCAGAGCAACAGACCCACCTGAGTCATTATTTTAGCTTCTGGATGTGCCTTGATTGATGACGGGACGTTTATCGATGCCAAACATGCTGTAAAATAGTCATAAAGACACACGCACTATTTATTGTCTTTATGACATAGTGCGTGTGTCTCTTCGCTGACATGCTGTTTTGCCTACCATTCAATCTTCTTAGGCTTCTCAGAAGACGTGCAGGACATTATTTTCATATTCCCAGACCTCCCTAACACTGATTGCAGGCTTTATAAAACATTCCTATTCTTGGAGGACGCTATTTTAACATGCAATGCACAAGAAAACCCAGATGAAAGACCTTTTGTTCTAAGTAGCACATGAATTTGAAATGAAAGCTCTGCTGTTGTGGTTTTGTAGCGACTCGGCACACGTCCTATTGTAATTCTGTCAGTCCAAATCAGGAGTAATTGTGTCGGTTTAATTTTCTGCGTCCTTTTGTCCAAATTCTATTCGAATGGGCCACAGCTTTCTCTCTCTCTGTGTGTGTGTGTTTTCTCCTGTTTAATAAGTGGAATCAGGTTGGTTTAGAGCTGCTAGATTTATGCGGGTCCTTGGGGGTAAAGTCCCAGGAGCTAACCACACAGAGGCATTTAGACTTTGGAGGGGAAAGGTTATATTGGCTGTTGAGTACACACAGATGACTCTTTGCTGCTTTTAATGTGTCAGCTTTTAACCTCCTTCTCACCCTTGTTGTCCATTTCTCTGGCTGTCCAGGACTTGTTGGACAGCGACTGGGCCAGCGTGCGGAAAGTTCTCGAGCAGGCTGACATCCTCGTCATTAAATACGCCGTCACGGACAAGCTCGCCTTCCAGCAGGTCAGGAACGGCTACGCCCCGAGGCTACGCCCTCTCCTGAGGCACTGGGGTGTGCCGGTCATACTCGTTGCTGTTGGAGCACGGCTGAATGGTGAGCATGCGCGTTGCCTTTGTTCTGTACTTTTTGTCCGGGTAGGATCAAGTTTAGATTTGTTGCCATCATTGCATGCATCACTGCTGCAGAGGAATTTGAGAGGACCCAAACACAAAGTCCCCTGCTCTCTCAGTGATTTGGCGTTGCTGCACAGGGCCTTAATAAACACTTGAAACTCGGGTGGAGGTTCACCTTTAAGAAAACAACCTTAAACATGCGGCAAGAGCAACAATTGAATGGTTTATATTAGAGGTAATTACTCGACATACAAGTAATTGTCATTTAATGGTTTATTAGATTAAAATTAGTTCCAATCAATTGACTAATTACGTCAGCTCAGACCTGCTTTCAGTGTGGCAGTTTGACCTCCATCCAGAAGAGGATGCTGCTGGTCATCCTTAAGCAGTCAGTTGATACAGAAACAAAGATGGCGGGGTCATACCAGAACAGGAAACAGAGTCCAGTCTTTTGATATATACTTGACAAGTTCCTGAAATTCTCACCTCAGTGCAGCTGACTCAAAAAATTGTTGAAATATATCAATTTGCTTCTTTAAAAAAAAAAAAAAATCAGCAAATTATGAAAATATGTAGCCCTTTATGTTATGTAAAGACGGCCGACCCTCTTCATACAAGAGAAAACTGGCCGCTTATCAACTAGTTGTTAGTCGATTGATGAGCTCAGTGAACTTTAGATTAACTCATTAATGGGTAACAAGCATCCCTTGTTTGTATCAAAGCATGTTCATGTTAAAATGGCCCAGTCAAAGTCACAACCAAAACTCCAAAACAATGCGTTTGAGTTTGGAGTTTTTAGCGCGTCAGAATGGGAAACATTTGCTGTAACATGAATACTTTCACAAGGCATCGTAGTACTTTGGAGTCAGCTTGCTTCTGCTTCAGTGCTTGATTTTGTTTTCAGGACAATATCAGGCTTTTCTGGACGGGTGAATACACTCGCCGTCTGAGTCTCGTGTCCTCTAGCGTGTCCTCTCTGCAACGAGGAGGATGCTCATGATTAAGCCTGCTCTCCGTTGCCTTCAGGCAGTTGGCTCACATGTCTCCCCAAAGGAAAGTCTCAAAGCAAAACATCCAGTTTGTGGTTTCTTTCTTTCTTTCATTTTTTTTAAGAGGTTTTGCAAGCAAGGCAAGAATACATATTCACAGCTCAAAAGTGCAACAGCAGCCAAGTGTTCGTCACAGTAAGGAGATTAGAGCCCTTGGCTGCAGCCTGACTGGACGCCGTTCGATACATTAGGCATTAACGTGAAGTGAACTCCGGCCACCTTTGCGGGTCTGCGTGTGGTTTTTCCCGCAGACACGCTGACCCCCTGTTGAATCCAGATCCCATAAACAAGCGCATCAAACACAGCAGGTTGTATTTTTAGCTCGTCTGCTCGAAGACAAGAGAACTGCTCCTGTCAGAGAGCTGCTGGAGAAAGAGGCAGAGGAGAGGAGGCAGCTTTGAACCGGAGCCTTGGTGTTTTTGTTTGCGGCTGCTGTGAGTTTCCTCCCTATCCCCTCAAGACTGCAGAGAATGACAGGCTGAGCTCGGAGCGTTCCCCCCCGCCCCCTCCCGGCTCGACTCTAGACCACCTAAGGTGCAGCTGTGGCAAAAGAGAGCTGCTGCACCTACATTAAGGCGTCTATTAGGTGGTAATGAACAGAGAACCACATATAGATTTATCCCCTCCATTCTAACACGCACACACACACACACACACTCGTAACACTGATATGCCAAGTCATTTCATGTCAGAGATTCACTCATACCTCGCTTGCCCCTCACTCGTGGACACACACACTCACACACACGCGCTCGACCCAGCTCCATCTCTGTGTCATGCCTTTAGGTTATTAGGAGAATGATTTATCAAAAGCTCCGCCCCCTGGCTGTATGTCCAGCTCATTCTGTCTCGCTCTCTCCTCCTTTAGTGCAGTGTGCTTCTGTCGTTTTCTTCTCCAGGACACTCCATCCCATTTCCTGTCTTGTTCTGTCTAAGCGGTTCCCGTCTAGGCACGCCACAGTGCAAAGGTGGTCGTTGTTCATGGAGCTTCTGCTGATTTGATCTTTTTGATGTTCCACATCAAGCAACCTGAACAACCAGTTTGTTTACATGAAGTCTTAACACTCTGTTGTGATGGAGCTCTTTCTGATTTTCCTATTTTCTTTTTCTTTCTTTTTTTTTTCTTAGGCCTATGCATCATAGTGACTTTTTTCCCTCCTGATATTTTTTCATTGTTTATTGTTGCAGGCAGTACAAAATGTCAAACTATATATAAATTGACTACTGCTAGTTCAGCGGTTTGTTGAACTATTGAGGCACTTTAAGCTTTTTCATGTTCTTTTCCACGTTAGAAGCGCACACTTCAGTGTGTTTCACGAGGATTTTTTATGATGAAACAACAATAAGCAGAGAGAGGCTCAGTGGAAGTGATTGGTGGCTTTCACAAAGTTTCACAAACACAAATCTGAAAAGTGTGGCATGTGTTTAGGGCTGCGACTAACTAATATTTTAGATATCGGTTAATCTGCCGATTGTTTTGATAACTAATTGATTTATAAGAAATTTTATTTAAAAAATGGCACATTCTGCAGATTTTCCATTTAAGGCTTTTTATATACATTAGAAATACATAAAAAAAATGCAAACAAAGAAGTAGTCCGATTCCTTTTTTAGATAAGAAAATAAACACTTTATTGCTTAAAATGCAATAACGTAGCAAAGAAAAATATTTTTTTTTCAAAAGCTCAACTCTTTCTGTTTGGCTTAACATCAAAACACTGTAGGGCTAATCTGTTGATTACTTTTTGGATTAGCTGATTAATAATTGGACAGGGTGCTTCATAGAAGATTTAATTTAATACAGAATTGCAATCGGGTGAAGATAAATCTATGTCATTTGAATAGTTTTGGTAGAACATGTTTAAAAATATTTTTTTGATCTTAAATGCTAAATGTTTAGTTATTTTTGTACAGTTTTGGCTTAGTTACTGCTGTGAGTATGTTCTTTCAGCCTTTTATTAGATCTACAAGTTCCAGTTAACAATTAATCGATGAATAAATTAATTGATTATTATTTTTCATACCCGACTCATCACCGTTAATCGGCCCGTTTTCGATGCATCTCTGCTCCAACACGGCTGATTCAAACGCTGTGACGACCTCCTCATCCTGTCAAAGTTCTGCAGAGGTTCTGCCGATTAACCATCGTGTCATGTGGTGGGAAACAAGTAAAACATGCAGGACATTCACCACTGAAGACTGACTTTGGACATCGCTGATTTAGATCAAACTAAATTCATGTGTTTTACTGCCTAGTGAAAGTTCAGAACTGAATCCAGTTGATCATTTTGGCAAAAACACTGATATTCACAGTCGCTCTCTGCGCAGTCTCGCTGAGCGAAGAAGAAAGCTGGGAGAAAACATACCAAAAAATACTATCAGAGTATTGACTGAAGGGGGTTTGAGCGAATGAACACCACATTATCAAAACTTACAAAACCATGGATTATTTTCCTTCCCCTTAACAATTACGCTGTCCTTTGACTCACTTTGTCAATCAGTATCCCAGTAAAATGCATTAAAGTTTGCAGCTGTGTGTGAAAAAGTCGATACCTGTGCATGCGAACCGCAAGTCACCGTACACTTTGAGCACCTCAGGTTCTTAAACACGCGCTCCTCCGTGGCTTTAAAAGCGCAATGTAATATTAACGACGTGCGTCTTCTCTTCTGCATTGAGATGAAGGACCTCCGTGTACGTGTCCGCTGTGTGCGTCTGACTGGAGCAGCTGTGTGCCGCACAGCGAAGGTCTGCAGCTCTCCCGGGACCTGGGCGCCACTTATCTGGAGCTGCCCTCTCTCAACCACGTCTTCGTCAGCCGCTACTTTGGCAGCGTGGTAAGCGCCGATGCGGACCTTCAGAATGGCTTTTAAATGTTCATATTTAACGCTTATGTCCACTTCTGTTTGCAAAAAGGCATGTTTAAGGTTAAGGATCGATGACTTGACAGTGATATTTCTGTCTGTTTTGTGCAGCTGGAGTACTTCATGATTCAGTGCCTGAAACACAAAGCCAAAGAGAGGCCAGACAAGAGGCGAGGGAACAAAGTGAACGAGCTGCGTCCTCCTCACTTAGAGCAACCAGGTCAGAGAAATACTACATCACTTAATGAAGGAGGCTCTCTACGTTCTACCCAGCTTGCACTTGTGCATTGCTGTCCTCCCCTTTTGTTTTCGGTCTCTTATTGGCGGGTTTAGTGAACACTCAGTGGACTGACTGGATTGTTTCTTCAGGAGCTAACGTAGCTGTGAAAAGAGCTGAGCACAAAGGTTTTATGTGGATCAATATTCCTCTGGTCAAACTGGAAAAAGGGAAAGAGACAAAAGAGCTAGGTGGACTGCTTTGTTTTTTTCCCCAGACATTTTAATCAATTTTTCAAAACAACTGGGTTGAGTACCCGGATTTAACCGGCTCGGCGTTGTATGAGAGACCATTATGTACTTTTTGACACATCTTTAATTAAAATAACAGGTTTTGCTTATAGTGTGCTTGGCTAGTCTGTATGGTTGTTTTTATAGCTCTGTATTTACAGTATGTATCAAATTTGAAAACATGAAATGCAACAAATAACTTTCGCTGTCATCATTTGGTCTTTTCCTCGTTGCAAAATGGTTTTAAGTCGTTTGTGGAGAGGCTAATCCTACTTTTCCTGGTTGATGCTAATTTCCTTTTCCATCATAGATGTGTTTGTTTTTAGTTTTTCTTATGCACCAATGTATTTGATGTAGATTGATGAGTTAACAGACCAAAAATGGTGGGAATTCTTAGTTTTAATGCATTTAATAACTAGAACAAAAACAAATTGTTTTAGTATTCAACCTGCTAATCCCTTATCTGACCTGATCAGCTGAAAACTTATTTATTGCTCCATCGCTCGTTGTAGTTCCAGGTATTTAATTATTTTTGTTAATAAATGACAACATGCATTGACTGAATTTGAAAACGCAGATATTAGATTTAAGAAAATCTGTCCGTCCGTCCATTTACTACTCTGGCAGCAAGATCTTCTCACTTGCAGATCTATTGCAGCCTTAATCAAACTGCCTCCAATCCAATAAAACTCCAAAATAAAGTAATTACAGGGGATAAATGACTGTGCTGATCAAAAGAGGCTAAAACTTGCAGATTTACGCACATTAATATGCAGCGAACAGCTTTCAGACGGCGAGTTTGATTACTGTGGCAAAGCTTCAAAGTAATAAGCCACGCTCCGGAGCTTGACAGTTGCATTTCCCCCACTTCGCTCTTATCTTAATGTTCATTTTTCTCCTCTGTTTGAGTCTGTGTTGTTGCGGCCGGATGAAAGATGTCTGATTAAATCTGAAACTGTTTTTTTTAAAACAGTTTTTTTTTTTTTAACATTACAGATGTTGCTACAATATGATATCTTTTTTCAGCGATAAGACTAAAATGATTGAGCTTTTGACTGACGTGGACCGCCGACGTGACGACGTTAGCTGTACATCGTTTTCTTTTTGAGCTTTTTTTTTGTTGTTTTTTTCCTCTGTGCTTCTGTAAGATGAAGACACCTGAAGGTTCTTCGGCTGTAAAACTCGAACTAAACATTGATCCGGCTGGTCTTTTCTGTGCCGTCTGTTTGAATCTGACACGGTAACGGAGAGCTGAACGTCCTGCCAGAAGCGGCAGCTAGTGCTGCCGGATTTATTGGTCGCTGTCTGACTCCACTTAGCTCAACTTATGGCCCAGCTTACATTAAATATGACAAGCGCTGATTCAGAAACGGCACAGTTTTCATGGCTAAATCACAGCAGCAATAAAACAAGGGGACACTCGGTACAAATTAGTGAGTGTGCAGCATGAATAGGATTGTAATGGGGACAGTAATTTGTGAGGCGTCCGTACTTCTTTTGCTCTACCGCCTCCTTTTTTCCTCATCTTTTTATTAATCTGACTTTATGATATAACATTTGAAAGCTCTGCCTCTTTTTTCTGTGTCTTTACAGTCAGTTATTTACAGCAGGCCTTCACTTTTTTCCCCCTTTTCTTTTGGTCATTTTGTTCTTTTTTTTGTCAGTGTATTCTGATTTGCAATTTTATTAATGCCAGTTTACAATTATTCTCTGTGCTGGTGTAACATTAATCTTTTTGTGATCTTCGCGCTACAACCTCAAACTTCATTGCATTTTATTGAGAGTTTTGATAATAAACTATGCACATTTTAACACTCAGATGGAGTGCTCCTATGAAAATCAAATTTCTGGTCTTAGCAGAGACTCCTAATTGCTTTTGAGGTGTAGACTTTGACTCTGTCGTTCCAACAAATGAATATGAATAAGCCTTTATCTCTGTACTTGGGGTATCATATACAACTTAATCTGTTTGGTCTTTATGAAGCTGTTTGTCCAATGCTGCTCTCTGATTCGCTACACTACACACAAGTCACCTTGTATTACTTACTAGAGGTATTTGGGAGGCAATTGGTTTAAATGGGTTTCAAATTAAAACATAAAAATACTTTACTGATCGAAAAGTGACATTAAATGTTGTATATTAACATATTATTAAAGGATCTTCTGTAGCAATCTGTGTTACTGGGAATTTGAAGAAGCCTCTTACTGAAGACACTGTGTTTTTCTATGGCAGTCTCATGAGGAGCATGCATTTTTCATTTTAGTAGCGTTGGAGTAAACGGGTCTGAATAGAAGTTCACACTGAACATCAGATTTTTAGATGTAAAAACATTTGGAAACCATGTTATTTTTTTCTATTTGCCAGCTATTTACAACTTTTTATTGATTTATCTCACTAAATTAGCTTCTAACCTAACAAAATATGAGAAGGTTTTTTATGTGTATGAATACTACTGCAGGACACTGTTTGTTTTGTGTCCATTCCTAAAGGTTGTAGATATTTTAGTTGACCAGAATCCAGTTCGGCAGTCTGAGTCGGGATCTTCTTAACGCCGTCAATAATCCAAAGAGGAAAAAAAAAACAACAACAACACCTTTCTTTCCTCATTTGAACATGACTTTGGCCTCCCACCTCACACTTCTACATTCTGTTGGTGTCGAAAACTATTTGTCCACACACACACACCCCGTCTCCCTCAGGCCAAAAGGTTTGTGCCGAAAGAAGCGGGAATCAATAGCGGAGGTAGACAGGACTGTCTGTTCTGCGTCATCCCTGCTACACACCTTTCTGTGGTTGAGGGAAGTCTGAATTGTTTCATTATCTCACAGTTTTCTTTCTTCGCCACCTCGTCCTCTGTCCCTTTCAGCTCGTCTTCCTCCGATCCGAGTGGAGGAGTCCAGCTTCTCCCAGGACATGCAGTGGCTGTTGGAGCGCGGCGTGCAGTTTGCCGACGTGGCCTTCTACTCCGGGGATTCTGGGAAAGAACTGGGGTGGGCCCACGCGGCCGTGCTGTGCGCCGTCAGCCCGTACTTCCGACAGCTGCTCCTGGGGCCCAAAGCCAGGTAGAAGACATGTTTACACACTCGCGGCAGCTGAAAGAGCTCCAAGCGCAGCTGCACTTCCTGTCTGCAGAGTCGCTGTAAAGTGTCTTGTCTGACTCTCGTTGGACAGGGAACGTCCACAGTCTCGCTGTGTCTGCAGGGAGCGAGACGGAGGCCCCCATTCGCTGCTCTCCACCTGGGACGGGAGCATTATTGACGACTTGCCCCGGTCGGACGGACACATGACGGGGCGACTCACTCGGCTGGTGGTGAAGGACCCCCTGCTGTGCATGTGCCTGTGGGAGACCCTCATGTTTATTTACAGAGGTAAACCCACCCACACTCGTCCGAGGCTTGTCATCTTTGGCTCTGTTTGGGGAAATTCATCCTCATTTAGAGGTCGAATTTGCAGTAAGAGATGTGCAATTTCTTAACAATTGTCAGTAATAAAAAAAAAAAAAAAAAAAAAAAAAACTCAGAACAAATCAAAACGTCCTAATTCAATACTGAATGAATTTTAACCAGAGCGCTGGCTGGGGCATTCCAACGGAGAAAATAATTGTTAATTGATCAATATTTCCATATCAATCACAGGCCCTTTTGTGAATCTGTGAAATGAAAATAGAGCAAACAAATCTCTGCTGTCTTGAGAAAAGGAAAAAACACCCTATTTCCACGATAAACTAATTTAATATGACATTGTGAAAATGATTTGATATTTAGCTAAATAAATCTGCCCTCAAGTGTACAGAAACACTTATAGGATTTCAAACTGTCATTGCTCATTATATCAAAATGAAGCCAAAGCATAAAAGCTGTTTGTTGTGGATCCTTGATGTTGTACTGGGTTTAGGAGGAAAAGTAATACTGATTATTAAATGCGCTTTATTATTATCCGACGACGGGCAAATAAATGTGACCTTCAATATAAAAGCACAAGTTTGAGCAGTTTTGGAAGATACAGGTGCGTTTTAACTCTGAGACGTATTATATACACTTTCCAAAACGTCTGAAGTCCGGTCTACAGCGTAAATGATTATTCCAGAGTTGAAAAGATTAATTCCAAAAAAAAAAAAAAAAAAAGTTTAATCTTTCAAGATTGTCATCTCAAAAAAAGCAGCAAATCTACAACAGAAAGACTGAAAAAAAAAGAAACAAATGATTGGATCAATAAATGCCCAACGTTAGAGAGACCGGCCAGAATTTATACAGAAAAGAACTCTAGAGTAAAGTGAGGCAATATGACAAATGATCTAATCAGACGTTACAAGATTTGAAAGTCTTAATTGTCTGCCAAAGCACACCGACTGTGCTGTAGGGTTTCCCCCAGAAAACTTCCTAAGCCCGGTGGTCAGGGCGGGGTTAAGTCGCCTAAGCCCCGACCACCGGGGCGACTTAAATATTAGCAATATAAATGCTAATATTTTAACACAGAGCACAGATATAAATGTAGCATTTGCTTATTGAGATGATCAATGCTGTTAAATTTGTTTTTAAATGGTTTCATCAAAGAATTTAAATTGTTTACATTTTTAAATTCAGAGGCTTCAGCTGATCTATCTATCTATCTATACACACACAACACTGACATTGGTATGTCATTCAGACTAGAGAAGTGTGGTCGGATGGTTACAAAGAGAGGGAAGGTCATCCGCACAGAAGGGGTCTCATTCCCAGAGGGAACAACTACAAGTACCTGGGAATACCACAAGCAAATGGCAACCTCGATGAGGTCACAAGGAAAGGAGAAGAGCAAGAACAAGATCCGTGCAATAAACAGCTATGCCTTACCAGTAATCAGATACCCTGCTGGAATAATTAGCTGGCCAATGGAAGAGATAAAGGACTGATTGTGGCAGAACAAGTGGGGACAGAGCATCTGTCCCATCATAGCAGAGTCATAGGCTTTCTTGTAATCAATCCAAGCGGTGCACAGGTTGGTGTGTCGGGTTTTGCAGTCTCGGGCAACTGTGTGGTCTACAAGTAGTTGGTGTTTAGCTCCTCTACTATTTATGCCGATGCCCTTCTGTGCCGTGTTCATATATTTATCCGCTTATCTTAGCCGCTATGATGCCTGACATGAGCTTCCATGTTGTAGAGAGACAGGTTATTGGCCGATAGTTGGATGGGACTGAACCCTTTGAGGGATCCTTCTGGATCAGGATTGTGCGCCCTTCAGTTAACCATTCTGTAGCAGCTGGTTCAGTTGAGCTGCCAGTCGCTCATGGAGGGCAGTGAGTTTCTTTAGCCAGTAGGCATGGATCATGTCAGGCCCTGGTGCTGTCCAGTTTTTCATACCTGAGACTCTTTCTTGGACATTTGCCACAGTGATGGGGCTTGTTCAGGGAGGTTGCTGTGGTCCTCT